CAAACTTGCTAAAAATGAACCAAAAAATAATTGTGGTAAAACTTATTGTTTGAACGAGTTTAAAAAAATTGAACATGCTAATTCTCCCAACATTTTTTTTCTAACAATTACGTTCTCAACAGTGAGGTTTAACCCTACTAATCAACCTGACTGATGTTTTTGCCTCAAGTTTAGGAAAGCCTCACGAGATATCTTTCTGGCAAATGGAACAATGGTTGATTAATATAACTATCACTGCCCCTGTAATTTCCACGATAGAGGAAGCACATTTTAGAACTGCGTTCGTAAGTAGGCCGTAAAATAAAGCATTTCACGTAAATAAGGCAAATTTGAGAATCCACGTTTGTTGTCGTAAACAAAATCCATTTACATCGTTGTGCCAACACAGGAAATGTTTCCTTCGTAAAATGCTGTCGTTGATGTCCGAAATTACACTTGCTTACTTCACTCTAACTGTCTCACGTTTTGATAATTAGTGCCTTTTAAGGACAGGCTCAATATATTGCTGCAATCCTAGCGGAATACTTGTTGCTTGATAAATATCAATTGAAGTTATATACCAGATATACACTCACCAATTATGAAAGAAAAGCATTATATTCAATATGCCACACAAAATATAAGGCAAGCAAAATAACCTTTTCGTTGTCCACTATCTAAACATCTTCGTTGTTAGATTCTGATCACGTTTAGAAGTCTAACGTAGTCTGCAAACGTTAGATCGTTTGTGTGGCTTGCGATGCATCCGACAAGTGCGCATTAAATGACATTTATCATGTTGAAAAAGCTTTGGTCTGACATCATTTGGCAACTCCCAGTTGTAAGTCTAGATTAATTTGGTAGTTGCCAGCAGTTTTCATTTAGGCAAATGACAACGAACAGTGAAAATCGGAAAAATTGTGAATATTCTACTCTCGTCACAGTGTTAGTTGAGCTTAGATTCACATTATCGAAAAGCGAAATCCAGATAGAACATTGTACAGTCCCAGTTAGGCTATGTAATTCGCAACGGGCAGATTTATGGTGTCTAGTAAGTAAGTATGAAGAAACAACTGCCTAGCCATTTGGATAATTTTACTTACCAAAAAGCTGAACAAAACAACAAAGGTGAGTTTACTGTATCAATGACCGTGGATGCTTGTTATATGTTACTTCACAGGGACAACAGAAATAGCCTAAGCGGATCATTCAAGCAGGCACAGTGACACTTGAAAAGTGCTTTATCTGAAGATTCAGGTGATTTTTTCTCAGTGATATGTTTTCAGAAGTAGAATATCTTCTATATTTGTAAACCATTGCTCGTTATCAACAGTGTCTTTGTCATTAGGCCAATTTGCAGAGTTAACCATCAATATTAATTAGCAGTTTGTAAAAGCAAGGAAGTTAGCTTGATTTCTTAACGTGGTAAACAGGCGTCTTGACAGGCAACTGTCTGCCGAAAACGAAACATTTTTATCTAGCAAAATATGCCGTTTAATTGAATTAGGTCTATTATAAGAAAACTAGTTTGTAGGTCCCGTTTAAATATCACATGGTGATTTTGTGGATGAGCACAAAGGACAACTTTAAAGGCACTTGATTTATTGCACTGACTAGCAAATTTAAACATACATATCGAATTTGTGACTTGATCAAGAACAAAATCTTATTTGTGCTGCTTAATTTGATTTGGTCTTAGTGACTACCTTAGGTATAACCATTTGCATTAAGTATTTTCCTGGTCTTGCTGTAACCCTGAGGTGTCCAATTTGAAAAAGTTATTCTTAAATTTGTTGTTCTTGTTGTTTTTAAAATCACGATCGCAAACGTTCATTCGCGTTATGAGCAAACCATAGATAAGCTGAATAATTTCCTACTGACACTAAGTAATGAGGGCTCGAAAATTCCAAGGCTTATTCTTGCATATTTGTCGTGGTTAAAGCAAAACCATGCAGTTTAAATCAACTGTGACATGCGAAAGTATTCGCAGCACAAAAGCCGTCTTGAACAGAATGTCCTCCACATTCTTCCTCTCATTTGTTGCAGATTTATCCAGCACCTTTTTTTTCTAAGTTGATTCGTCTAATGTTTGGATAATTTAAGATATGCGAGTAAGTCAACGTTATATCAATGCGTTCACTTTGTTTCAGAACATAGAAAACCACTAGAATATGCTCATGGAATGAAGAGGCGTTGAATCGGGATGCAGGTGTACGGCGAATTGGCTTTTGTGAGCGTTTACCGTTTGACTTTGCTGCATTGTAATTTGCAAATAGGTCATTACTCTAGGCTACAGAAGGGTTCAGATATCAATCAGGTTAGACAAGCGTAATCAGGAATACAAGAATACATCTACGAATAAAGTAATTCCATTTTACTTAACAAATCGTAGGGCTATTGTATAAATTGCGATCATTTCGATATTCCTTCATATAGGCATATAATGGGAATGAAATTTTTAATATTTGGCAATTTGACAAACTTCAAAATTTGAAAGAACAAAATACTGTCATCTTTGCATTTAGCGACAGTTATAACTAATAATTTTTTTGAAAAGTCTGTTACTAAAACCAATATATATCAATTGGACAACTGCATAAAAAGAATAAACAGAATTTATTGGCACGGCTATTTTCATTACATATTTTAGTAGAAGTAATTTTGACCTAAACATTATATTGTACCTCAACGGCCAACGCATACAACATTCGTGGGTATTACGTCAATAATACTCATTTGTATACCAAAGTAGGAAGTTTTGGTTGATTCTCATGCAGTAGATTCAGTCGTAGAATTTTTTTCTATTACCTTGAATAGAAATGTGCTCATAGGCTACTTTGACAGTACATTTTTTGGCGCCATCGTATCATGATGCTCAAAATGCTATAACCAAACCACAAATTGACAAAGAAGTTATTTTTTAATTACTGGATATAGCCGTCATGAAATGTCACATTGAAGAGGGCTAGATACTAAATCAATTGTATACATTACAAGGAATTGTTGAGGACAAAGTATGGTTTTTTGCACAATACGCTGATGAACTCATATATTTGGCATAATATATTACGTCGCAGCTTTTTAGATGCCTTTTTGAGTTTAATTTATTCCTAACTGATCACATATCTCTTCTTTAAATAGGATATTATTTGTTAAAACAATTTGTCAAACACTCACATTTTCCAGTTTCATTCTTCATTACCACTGCAACCAACACCTTAAAGTTGCATGACTCTATAACTTTTACTTCGTTTAGGCGCATTTCCTTTGTTCTGGAAATTGGGAAACTGCAAGAACGTCTTTTCAAATCGTGGCGATTACGTTGATTTGAATTCATTTTGCACTTTAATTCAATTTTCATAAGCGCATGTCCCTTAACCCACTTAAAGATGTAACCTTTAGAGGTGCCATTGTTTTGGGATCAAATGTGGTCATCCCATAAACATGTTGAACAATGCCGATTTCGATATCAACCTCATTAACACCCAAATAGCAATTATCTATTTGTTCGAATATTTGAGGCCGTCTGACACTTATTATGTTGATGTTTTCACAATTGGCCATAAAACGATTCTTAAATTCTCTTTTGAATCATTGTGCACTCCGGACAAATACGTAAACACTGATTCAAGAAAAAAGGCTTGTTTTAGTAGGTGACCAACTAAAGTGTTCCTATTCTGCTGATTTCTTCTTAATTGTTTTGATTGACATTTGTCGGTGCAGGAATTCCAGTTAGAAATATCTGAGTTATCAGAACCAATGACCTGCCAAAGGACTAATTAGCTTATCTGCCGATTGGGTGTCGGCGTTTTCGAATGTAGTCTGAGGATATAAATTGCGCGAAAGCACACATACTTGTCATGACATCGAATTCTATTTCTGGTGGATAGGAGTTCTCCTGACAAAAAATTGAAGTAAGATATCAGCTGATTTGGTGTAATTGCTTTTAGAAATGAAGCAGGGCATAGTCTGTCTTCTTGCACTGTTATGCTACGCGGCAGCCAGAGTTCCATCGCGAGACGAGCGCCATTTGATTATGGAAGCACATAGAAATATCCGCGAACGCGTCAGCCCCAGCGCCAGTGACATGAAAATTATGGTGCGCCACAGTATTAAAGCTTGTTGGATTTATTCTTTTTCACAATTATTGTGCTCTGGTATCTATTCTTTCCATTGCTGGTGTAGTCAGTTACTTGTTTGTAAGTACGTTACAATGGCATTCGCACAATTTGTTGTGTCTATTACAACGAAAGCTATTGCATATATCATGGCTTTCACACATTCAAGTAGTGTGCAACTCAAAATGTCAATTTTGAGCAGCGGCTGCAGGCATAAATTATTAGCATGCCTTCTTTACCCAAGGCATTTGATTTGTTCATGTTGTTATTTAGAAATACTCAAAACAACTGGAAAAACAGGCAGAAATGTCTCTGACTGCGTGCGTCATAGAGGAACACATTGTCACTGCATACAGTGATAACGAAACACAGAACCTGCGCATCTTCATCGATGAGGAACCTACCTTTGTAAACATGATCTATGCGTATGCCGAGGATGAAGAGTTTTATGACTTTGAAAATAATACGTGTACCAGGGAATGCAGTGGATACAAACGAGTAAGTTAAAATGTATTTAAATCTTGATTTAATAATGCTTCAGTAATACAGCATATCCTTTGCCAAAATGACTGCTCTGTCCATTATTAGGCAATGGAAACGTCAAACGTTGTCTAAACTGCAGTGTGAATAGGCAACAATAAGGTCTATTTACTTTGTTACACTTGCTGTTCCTAAAGTGAGAGAAGTAGTAGTTTTCTTTAGAGCAGCAAACCTTTTTTTTCTATATTGCTACCCTAAATCGAAAGCTATTTGAAGCAGGCTATGGTAGATAGTGATGGTCAAAAGTTTAATTTCAGTTCTTGTTTGTTCATTGGTGCAGTGATGTTACATGTTCCGTTGTAGTGATAATCACAACCATATCATGGAAGTGGCGCTGAAGATTACTCTTTAACTTGCGTACTCTTTTACAGATTGTATGGGCCAATTCCACCAGGGTTGGATGCGCAATGCATAAATGCGGAGCCTATGGTCCTAAGCACCAGCACCCTATCTACACTGTGATTTGTCAGTACGATCCAATGTAAGTCATGGTGCTAAATTGTCATAAAACTTAGTGACAAGTAAACAATGTATCTGCAGACAACTGGTTTAGGGAACCAGCGTGCTAAGATACCTGTTCGAGAATTCACTCTTTCTCTATATCAAGTCGTAGTTTGCTTGCCTCTTTGTTCTCGTATATAGACGGAAGAATTCTGCCATGTTTGACAATTGTCTGTGAATGTTATATTGTGTTGGTCGCTTGCATGTCTTTTTTTAAGAGAAGAAATTAAGGAGAAGAGACCGTACCAAAAGGGTCCAAGTTGCAGTAAGTGTCCTCCTAAATACGGATGCCGTCACAAACAGTGTGTCAAAACGCACGGGACAGGAAGAGATATGGGGAACAGCACTCAGATAACCCCAACAGATTCGTTGTAATACATCAATGCAGGGAGACGTCTAATTACAGCACCAGTGCTCTAACTACTGTTGCCAACTTTAACTCGTACTTTTGCCCAAGCTGACTCTTTGGTTCTACATTCCGAAATTCTTACATTTAATAAAATGCCTATGTTTCTCTACTGCCTGGAACTTTGCATTTTGTAGTCGTGATTCCTCGCACACAAACGGTTAGTTGACTTATTTAGGAAAAATCTATAATACAACTACTAATGTAATGCTAAATAAAAGTCGTTTTTCACTAAGTAGAAATCAAAATGTCTGTTATTACAACACTTATGACGTAATCTACTTCTGGTGTGAAGTGTTTAGCAGAATATGCAAAGTATTTTCTAACTCATATTTTGGATGGTTTTTCTATTGGTAAACTCTGTAAAATTAATTCCAGAATGCAAAGACGCTTTGAACATCACTACATAAAGTCCATGTCTAGCTTAACTAAACCCCTCTTCACCATGTAACCAATTACAAGACGTAAATCTTAGTGACATAATTGACAGTCAAGCACAGGGTATATTTTGCTAAATGTTTTTTGTGGTTTTGAAAGTTTGATGATGACAAGTAAATGTGAGTTACCTAACCTCCAAGAAAACCGGATTTTTTGACTACAGCTGACCAACCGCACACTTGCCACTGTAATCTACACATTTCAACAAGTAGAAATCTACCAAGGCACAAGAAGCAGATTGTAGTGTTCTTAGTGCTGCCATCGTTATAATCAGCACAAACGTTACACGGGCAATTGATCCGATCTTAGTGATCAGCCAGCGTTTGCACCAAATGGGGAAATTTCAAAAACCTGGAAGATGAATCCAACATGTGCTGACTCTTCTCAACCTCGGTCAACATATTATTAATAGCCTCTTACGCACTTTCTTGGCATTCAACTTGATAGATCGTGTTTTATAAAAAATGGCCCCTTCGAGTTACAAAGTTGTGGCAGTTGGAGGCACAGTTAAATGTAAGTAACATGCGTGTTATTATCAAAACCCACTGTGAAATAGTTTGCGATTTTTGACGTGTGACATTTGATCAAGCGAGTTCTTGTAGGTATGGACACAATACAATTGTAAATCTTAAGTTACTTTATACCACAGAATATCTATTGAAGGCTGGAAATAGAAGGGATATTTGATAATGTCCAAGTGGGATTCTATGTCAATACATTACACTTTTTGATTGTTAGGCTATTCTTAGGAAGAAGGCATTTTTTTAAATCTGTGCTTTTATATTCTGCAACATATTTCTGAGAATATTTTAATGCAGACTGTGTTGGTACCAGGATGCAGATGATAGCAATAAATATTAAATGGCAAAACTTTTAAAAGCAACAGCCATCGAAATGCAAGTACCAATAACTCATCAACTTAGTTATTTTGTTTCGGCTTGCGATACTACTCAGTACCACTCATAGGATATCAGTAGGTTTCGACGAGTTTTTTTTTCAGGAACTGGTTAATCCATTTAACGCAAAGACTGTAGGTTGCTATCAGGAGAAATAGTGGTTCTTCTGGCTTGTTCGTGGTAATAGTTTTTCACCGAAAGCTTCATGACGATGAGTATCGGTCATACGATGACTAGACTTAGACTATGAACGGTATTTCTTGGTAAATTTCTTGGTCTGCAGCACAGTATTTTCTTCCTGACGGTTATCTGAAATGTCATGCTTGGTTTGACAAACAAAACTTTAGGATATGATGCACATTTGTTGAACTTAACGGTTTGCCTATCCTAGTGTGCATTTTCATTGCGTCTGATGGACAAAGTAGAGAAGCGAAAGTCGGCCCATTAGAAGCGAGCTTCAAGATTCAAAATTATTAATGTACGTTTTGTTGGCGTATATGCATCCTTCATGAAGGTGTCAAAGAGATATTCAGACGAAAGCTGGTGAGTATTCACCAACACGATCGACGAGACGATTATGCCTTGTTGGAGATGACTCAGTACATCGACTAACTTGCTGACACTATTACCCCTCAAAAGTCATCCTTAATAACAATGACCATATACAGTGGCGTCCACTCATTCATAAAATTTAGAAATTCCTTCGCCTAAATCAGAACTGCTGGAAACTACCTAAGTAATCTAAACGTATAACTAGGAGTTGTCAAGTTCTGTTAGGTTAATGCTTCCTTAACATGAAAACTGGTATGTAATGTACATTCATTGGATGCGTCGTAAGCCACACAAACGATCTTAAGTTTGCAGATTGTTTTAGCCTTCTAAATGTGATCAGGCTCTAACGAAGGAGATGTGTAGATAATATTTTGCTGGCCGTTTATTTTAGTGGAATGTTTAATGTGCTTGTTTTCATTATCTATTCTTGAGTGCAAATCTGGTGAATAACTTCACTGAATATTTTCACGAGCAACCAGAACCATCCTGCAATTGCAGCAACATATTTAGGATGTCTCGAAAAGGCACCAGATTCAAAATTGTGCGAAAACGCGAGAGTTGGAGTGAAGTAAGCAGATGTAATTTCGAACATCAAAGACGGGATTTTGCAATGGGAATATTTCCTTTGTCGGCACAACGATGTAAATGGGTTTTGTTTACGACAACAAACGTGGATTCTCAGGTTTGCCTTATTTTCGTGCAATGCCTTATTTTGCAGCCCAATTACTAAGGCAATTCTAGAACGTGTTTCCGCTATCGTGGAAATTCCATCGGCAGTGGTGGTATAGTTATGAAACCTTTGTTCTATTTGCTTACTTAAGCTAGATGGATAAACTTGAGATAGGCTAATTAGTAACCCTTAACCTCACTGTTAATTATTAAGCAACTTTAACATAAACTGGTGGTAGAATTGGCATATTCAATTTTTCCAAAAATAGTTTATTATCTATTAATGGTTATAATTTCTTTGTCAAATAAGGGGTGTTACAACTATTTTTCTCATTTTCAAAAAAAAAATAAAATCTGGTTTATAGTAAGATTAATAGAGAGTTAAACGAAAGATTTCACACATTCCGTTAATGGTCTGCACTCCAAACGTCACCCTGTGCGCCATGAAAAATCAATTAACTTCACATTTGTCACAGCAGATGTTTCAATGTACTTGATTCCAAAATTTATTTCTGAGTTCACAATAAGAGATAAAGTAACAGCTTACCTGAATAGGGTACATGTTAGAATAAATCCTAGTTCCATTTTGTGCATAATTTTACTATTTATTTAAACAAGCAAGAGGAAACACATTATAGTCGCATCAATATCCCCGGCATGCACTAAATTGTGCAGAAAGTCAATACAAGAGGCAAAAAGGCTGGCCAAATTCTTTAGGTAGTTTAAACTTTTGAGACGAGAATAGACTAATTTGAGCAAACGAAATGATTAGAAAAGTAGAATATTTATTTTGTGCAAACCCGCTTGTTGGCTGAAAATGAGATCAAGAATCTTCGGCAAATTAGCGGTGTCACCACAATTTCCGTGATGGTTTGGGGAAACAAGACCTTTTTTTGCGGCAAAGTAACAGAAAAACAGAATTTTTGCTCGGTCGGCATTTGGTTTTTTCACGGTTAATTTAAGCCTTGCATTACCCTTGAATGGTAGAGTGAGAACGTAAGGCGAATAATCAAGTTAAATGTTTGCTTAGGACATGGGATTTTAAGACTATTCAGCTTTGTTTAAATTAGGAATCCTGGCTGACACGTGTTTCGAAATTCGAGGGTGTCAAAGCGTTGGAAGATGCGGTCGTTATGAGCAAACAAGACTGTTGGTGAGACCAGAATGAGTGGTTGTTGCTGTGAGGCGATAAGATCTCATGTACATCATCTCAATAAAAGTTAGCGTTAGAAAAATTTACGTTGTCCAAGGAAGAGTACAGAGTCGGCGATTACAGCAATGGGCGTGACTAAACACGATTTTTTTTTACTGTTTGATAATCATCAGTTCTTCTAGAGTTGCATTGGGTACGGTTTCAACAACAGTAGCCCTGTCAAATGGAAAGTCGTATTATATCTTATTACTTCACACAAACTGTCAGAAGGGTTTGGATGTTCGCCTAGAAGGCAAATTGTAAGTTTTATTAAGGTCTAGTTTTACTGAGCTCAAGTGCTCAAAGTTGTGTACTTTGATTTGGATAAAACAGGTTGTCGAAACCGTTCTGCAAGCTGCCGTTGTCCATGCAAAGCAACCAAAAATTAATTTCAGTTTGTTTTATACAAAACATTTCGGCACCTGAATTTCGGTACTTGAATCTAAGGCGTTTAACAGGTGACTTCATTTGCTTTGTTGAATGGCTACTGACGTTTACAGCAGCAACATGAATCACGTGGTTTTCGAATTTTTACTCCATACTTTTATCATTTTCACATGGGTCTGTCGTGACTAATCGATTAGTTAGCGGCGAATAAAGATGTTTTGGATATATCAATGCCGCTACACGTTGCCAAATTCTTGCGCAAACCTAGAAGATTTCTTAACTGTCTGGTATAAATTAGGTCACCCATTATCAAATGATAAATAGGTTATACGGAAAAAAATTGCAAAAGTCCAACGAGCCAAGAAATTTTCATTTACTTTTGATTTCCTGCAAGAGGATGCAACTTTATTCAAAGGAATTAATAAAAATTCAAGCGAAAAACGCTGAATAACCCCTAATTTGAACGTCAAGCGAATTCAGAGAAAAATGTATTAAATAAGACTGAGCACTGAGCTAATGATATTAGGTCAAGGATCAAAAAAATAGCTATCTGCTTTACGGTAGCCATTTTCCATCAAGTTGATTTGTCTTAGTACTAACCATAATTGATAACGACATATATAGTTTAGAGAAAGAAACACAGAGGCAGAATTACCTATCATTCAGATGACATAATATGTTTACATAGTACGTTGAAGCAAGAGTTATCACAGTAAAAATTGAAGAGCTGACTAATGCAATCATTGGAAAAATATAATATTATAAATAGAAACAAGTGACAACACCGATGCTGTGCTAATTCTACAGGAATTGATAATTGTTTCGGCTGAGCTGTGTTCGTTTCACTTGGTCGTATTAGTTGCACAGGGGCGTCAGGTGTGTCGTTGATATATTATTGGTGGTAACACCACAGTTTTGCAAGTCTCGTGCTGTATTATTATTATTATCATTATTATTTATAGCGTACTTCGTTGTTGACATGGTTATATTTCAGCTACAATTCTTTTCAAAAAGCCTGCAAATGCGTTGCATTAGCACACACGACTAACGATTGTGACGTTGTTATGGAGTTTAAAAAACCACAACTATGTTTATCTGTTTGAGATCCCCCATACGCCACGACTGCTTGTCATTGTTTCCTGGCACTACGTACACTAATTCACTAACATGTTTTATTACGCTTTTTATCAGGTCAAAGTCAACCTTGACTCGAATTGGTTTCCCTTTTGACAACCCACTTCTCACGTGGCTGAGGTGATTGAGGCTCTCTACACGAGCTCTGGTCTTGTTATTGCATTAGCGTTGAAAGGTCGGTTCTAGCGTCATTAAGGGATCTGGTATCGTTATCTGAATGGTTTTTTCTTTATTATAGTTAAGCGTAAAAATATCTGAGTAAATATTGGTTACACTTGTTGCATTACCATGCGGACTTGAGATTTAGGTATTAATAATGGCTGAAATTCATAAATACTTTAAACATTAATTGTAAACTCGCAAGAAATTAATAAATATTTACGGACTAGAGGTTTGTATCTTCACGAAAATTTCAATGTTTCGCAGGTCAGGAGCATTTTGTATTGCATCTCTTTTACAAATTATGCAGATGAGTGAGCATGGCACGTTTTTTATACTGAAGTCCAGGTATTCCGTGTAAAGCATTTATCTCGAAACGAGAGTCCTGGGTAATTTGACTTCTAGCAGGCAATTTATTTTGTCTTATGGAGACTGAATTAATATGCGTGTCACTGAATTAGAAAAAAACTTAGGTTTAATTTATGCATGTACATTGGTGCGAATTTTCTTCTCAGTATTTTCAAATTAGATAGCGTTTTCTAGATTACAACCAAAAAAGAGATTTTGTGATTTTTGAAATCTCATTTAAATGCGGCATATTAAACAAAGCAGCATAGTTTGTTCGAGTAGCATGCAAATGGAAAAAGGTTGGAATAATGATTAATACGTGCTTCATGGCTATTTTTTTAGATTTTACAAACCTACGTAAACACGCCACACATAATAATAACATCAAAGCCATTTAATTCCAGGTATGTAAGATTTCAATTCTGCTTTTCCAGTCCGTTTGTTCATCAACTATCGTGAAATCGAGTTCAACGTACTAATGGATATTCTGTATTACTATGATGATTTTTAAAATATTTAATCATTGTATTAGCAAAAACGTCAGTGGCCGTTTTTAAGCAGAACAGATTGTCTATGATATGCTTGATAAAATACGGGTAAGTGGACAAACTGTTCTGAAAATAATGCCCCATTTGCGTTAGAAAATCAGTTAACTTTAAATTAAATCAAAAATCTTGCCATTTTAATCCTTTTAGTTAACTGACATGGCCTGTATGTAGGCAATTATTTAAGTTTCGTGATGTAAGGGGTCGTTGTACTTTCCTAATAATTGCACACACACATTACGAAAGGTTTTGACCTTATAATAGCTTGCATAATCCTAGTTTAATGTACTAAGTCATGTAACTATTATTACGTAGACGTTTTTGTACTGAAGTTATTAAACATGTTCTGAAATAATGACAGGTGTTTGTAGTGTAAGTTTGCAACCGTGGTAGATTTTTGAAAGGTAGCCAATCGTGTCCTCTAAAGTCGAAAAGCTATGCTGACACATAAAAACGTGTGTACATTGTGGACCTTTAAAACATTAATATATTTAGTAAGTAAATTACTATACCCGAAAAGCCCGTTACTGGCATTTTAGCCAAGTCCAGGTATCTTGGCGAATTTGGAGCCAGTTTACATGATTTGAAAAATATTAATTATTTCAAGAAATAGACAGCAGTGGGCAAATGATTACATGTAAATAACAAGGTCAATCAAAACACACCGTGTGTACTGTAAGGATGTCTGTCAGTAGCTCGTCGAAAAATATCTTGATGTGTTGTCCTTACATGATAAATATGGATATATTGCTTCTGCTGTGTAAATGCACCAGCTTTAAGCTACATCAACATACTTGAAATATTCAGCAAATGTTTTCTAATCTCCCATAACTTCTTAGGATTTTACCATACCCCGCTGACTGCGTAATTGCAACACTGCAAATTTCAGGAGCCGTTGTTATTTAAAGGGTAAACCCGAAAAAAGAGCTCAAATAACTCAATGAGTCAGAAATTACCCTCAGAATGTAGCGACGTTAAATGTCTCTTGCATAAAATCTTTGATAAAGTAGGGGCACTCAGTGGTCAATATGCGTGTTAGTTCAGAAGCGAAACTATGGCGTTATGTGCATGCATTGAGTACAAAAAAAACAATAAAAATTCATCAAAGCTCCTAACGTCTGTTGTTTATAAAATAGATTAGCAGATTTGCAATTCCCACGTAAACACCAAACTATGTGAATTGACGCGTATTATGTTGCTGTGTTTACAAAAAGCAATTATAAATATGGCAAACTGAATGCGATGATTATTTCCATCTTGGCAAAAAAATCGACTAACAGGATTTTCGATTAATGCAAGTTATAAAAAGTCCACTCGACCTGTCGCAATTTTTTTCTGCCGCGCGTATTGATTGTTTTGAGAAATGCAACCTTTTGCTGATGACATTTTGGGTTACATAATATCTCATGCTTAATCGAAATTATTTAATGGCAAAATTAAATGCAGCATAATTTGCACATTTAGTTGGCACCTGCTATTTCATTATTGCTTGAATTTACATGATTGGCGCCATGCGTCTGTCTGAAATTAAGGGAAACTAGTCTATCTATTTTAACAACATTTGAATATTGTAGCACAATCGTATAGGTAATGCGTAATCAGTTAAAAGCAATGATGAATCATAAAGAGGGAAATCGTTGTGGATACAACTGTGCACCATAAATTCAATTAAACGAAAATAGGTTGACCATCTAACTAAAATTTCACATTTATTGTAGAAAAAAATAGCTGCATAATCATGTTTATCACGCATATCTTTGATGTTTTCAATTATTAATCGTTACCTTGTACCTGTTTACAATTATTTTATTTAAAGATGTTTTCATGGGAATAGACTTTTGGAGGTAATTCAATGCTACATTAGATGATAGAGTCCCTCGTTTTATCCAGGAATAGACAGCAATCGATAATGTTTAGAGAACGTTTGCTATGACTTCTTTGTAGATTTTGCGTGTGTGTATGCTTAAATTATGCCTGATTTTGGCGTATTTATTTTCATCAGTTATGAAATTCCACAAAATCCCATGTTTCAGGAATGCAATAATATGTGAAATACTATTGACATTTCTTACAATTATAGCATTTTATTTGTAATGCGTTGCTACGAACATCCAATAATAATACGCAAATTGCATACTTTACGAAGTTCTATTAGGGCAGCCACTGCAATAAAATTTTTAAGTTGCCTAATGCAATATTCCTTTGTGTATTTGTGATGTACAGGAGGTGTAAAAGCCTCAATTGCACAGGCTAATGTTGAAATATCTAGTGCTTTGGGCAAAATTTAGATAATGTAATGCAGTGGATTGGCTTTGATATTATTAGTAACGTTCATCATGCTAAAGAAAATTAGTGGTTGTGTAGGTACTCAGATATCATGAGAATATTAAAATCGTAAATAACGTTAAATTTTCCCATTTATACTCAAGAAAAAAATTAATTATTGGCTAAAAACTCATGGTTGAAATTATTTTGAAAGTATCTTCAGAGCTGAAGACGTGGGAATGCCTTTGGACAAATTAATATGAAAAATGCAAATTATTTTCAATTAGCAACCGTATAAACAATCAATAGCACATTTTTTTGTTATTTTGGGTACGTTAATTTTCATTTACAAGCTACATAATAATAATAAGCTACATAATAATAATAATAACAATACCATAATAATTGAATTTTTCATCCAATCACATGTACAAAGTTTTGCATATTGCAGAACATCCCAACGATATAATATTGCATTTTACGGTTTTCATATCGCTTAATGCATTCATTCTCTTAAAAAATTTATTTCTTGCATCTGACTTTACTGCCAGTTATTATACCTTTCAATATTTATTACTTATTTACAGTGTTCATTTAGAGTTTCCTGCGTTATGCATACGTTTATTGATACCTGTATTTCGGGACCAATTTTTACAATTAGATTATACATTATGTATTAGGCATTCGTGGTTCAAGTGAGGTTCGGTGGCAGTGTTTTGAGGCTAGTAATTTCCTGAAATATCGTAACCAAAAAGTAGTACGTACACCCGGAAATGAGTGTCAAATCTTAGCATGCCTGTGGCCTGTCGTGCCTGATATCGTTGTTGCAACCGTGGTTAATGTCAATACGTGGTACACTCAAATGCTTCATTTTGACGTACAAACAAATGTCACCTCCAGAAAAGTAAACTTGATTGGGAGGAACTGAAAAAATTAAAGATGCACGAATAAAGGGTTACAATATATTTCTCAGAACAAAGTTAATGACTTATTAAACAAACCGAAGTGTCTTAGTTTTACAGAATAAATAGAACCTGAAAGGTTGAACGGTTTTTCCGAGAAAGAATTCAAATCTTCACACATTGAGAGCGTGAGCAGCCGTATCCTGAAGGACATTCACTGCAGGGATCTCCAGCTTTGTAAGGCCGTCGTGAAACGTAGCCTCCCCTAACAATACACATTCCAGATACAAAACGCGCCATCTCAATTGATTAAAGAAACAAAACTTCCATGGGAAAATTCGCATTCAAAAACAAGGCTTTGGTAGCTGAATTGATTACTTACTTTTGAGAAAACTGAGTTCCAAAAATTATAGAGCCAACAGGACTTACATTGGTGAATAAACGCAAACCACATAGTAAATGGGCTTCCGCAAATAAGACGTGATGTTGTCGCACCTTTGCATTGCGCAACCAAGTTCTGTAGACGTTGCCCACACCATCTTTAAGAAACCCGAAAAAAAAACAAATCTCATTTAATTGCACTCGTTAGATTGCAGCAGTAACACTGAGTTTAGTGTTACGCCACAAATCATAGAGAGCTAAGGACACTTTTAGTTTCTTAATATGCTGCACATTCACCTGCTTATATCTTTCGCAAACGCCCGCGCACCGATTTCTATAATAGTCGTATGTGTACTTTTCCCTGTACCACTCGTAAGCCGCATGAGAAAAGGTCGGCTTATAACCACCAACCAGTGCTCTGTTTTGCGATGTAAAGCTAACCGTTCCATCAGTTGCAGGATCTGGTTCTTCTAACGTGCAGCGAGCCACCCATTCAACAGCTAGAGATTCCATTTTCTCTGAATACCTCTGCAGGAAAACAAAAACAAGATCATAACAAAGTGAGTTTGCTTCTAAATAATAGGTTGATAATATGAAATACAAGATTTAGTGGCGATCCGTCAACAAATCGCTAACAGTTGTGAAAGCAGTTAAAGAAATCTGATTATTGCCATAATGTTTCAAACAAAAACAGTACTTTGTTCTGTTTACGCACCATCATTTGCATGTCACTGGCAAAGGGATATGCGCGTTCGCGTACAGCAGTGTGAAATTCAAGAATTGAATCGCGTTCTTCTTGAGATGGAGCTTCCGCCACCACGCACGACAACAACATAAGAATGCAAACGAATTTGTCCATTTATCTGAAACAGGAAGCAAGATTAACTAAAAAACAAATATCCATCGATGAAGATGAGACGGCTACTTATTGCTAAGGGGCAGGGTCGGGTTTGAACGGTAGGATGAGAAGGATTTTTGAATGTATATATGCGATTCTTAAACCAATGAATTTGCAGCATTCTGGTAAATGGCAAATACAACAAAAAATTCACACACATGGAGACCAATACATGATCACGCCGTGGTACAGTTAAATAATACGTAATGTTGAATAAACATAACTGCCCCAAGGGATGAAAGCAAATAATATGACCTAGTTTTCGGACCAAATCAAGTGCATTTGAATTTCAACATTATTGCAACATTAATTTCGATGGCTTATCCATTCATTTATTCTAAACCAAGTATTAATTAAAATTAATGAAATCAGTGTTGCCTGTCTGGATGCAGTTGCTGACGGCCATGTGAGACCGTCTACTCACACACCTCAGATCATGTATCTACCAATCATCTGGATTTTAGTTTATTACCACTTCAAATAGTTAATCTAACCTGAATCTTTCAGAAGGTATTTCGCCATGAATTAATTTGAAAGCACAAACACGGCAACGTATTTAAAACCTCCCCTGGTTTCAGTGTTACCCAGCTGTGATAAAGCTTCGTGTGGAACACGGAATTGGATGCTTTTCTGGGAACAGAACTTTGAGTTTTTCTAATGAAAATCCAAATTTTCGCTTTAATAAACAGTTAAGCTATGTATAAATTTTGGGTTGCGTTTTAAGTGTTCTAATTTCAAATAAAACGACTATTCTATGCAATATTATAAAAAGAAATTTTAGATAAATTTTATAAACACCTTAGAAATTATATATGTATTGTGCTTGCTTCGTTTGATTTATCAAAAAAGTTGGATAACTTTACAAACATATTTCGAATCATTGTTCTCAGTAGAAAATAAGTCATGAATGCAAACTTGCCTGCAAAATTCTTTGACCGTAAATCAAAATTATTCCTCATCTGACCCTAGTTATAACTTATTGGAAAACTGATATCTTATGTAAGAAAAATCCTTTGGTGTGAAAATGTTTTTGGAAAACTGATAACTTATGTAAAAAAAATCCTTTGGTGTGAAAATTTTTTAACGGAAGATGGTTTTATGATTTTTCCTGAAAATTCGCTTGCAGAACTCCCACCATTAAGTTATTAATGTCATTATTTGATTTCGTCATTGAAAAAAAACATTTTTTTACATGCAGAGAATATGGGCATTTAAATAAGCAACAATTATTAAGCCGAAATGAACTAAAATCAATCTTTCCAAATTCAGCCATTCAAAAATGTGTTCCCTTTGTGGGTCGTGACAGCATTCATAATAAAGTAAAATTTTATCTGGCATCATAAAAGTAAAGTTGATTTTATTTAATTAAATTACAAATTAGGAACAAGGCTTTGAGATTTATACTCACCCTATTTGTATGAAATGTGTAGGCTTTTTGCAAAAAAGTGATACAAAATTGACTAATTAAGTTTCTTGAGTTAGGAGCACAAATTTTGGCTAATCGATTCGTGCCTTTTATCTCTAAAAGAGACTAAGTGACTTACAGACTGTAGAGAACTGAGAATTATTTTTCGGTCAAATACACTCGATTATTTCATCCCAATAGCAAACTATCTATAAACCTGTAGCATTTTGCCTCACATGACTGCAACTATAGCACGTTGTCTACTATGTCCAGGAGGAGTGATTTTGTTTGCTTTATTGCACTCGAAAATTATGGCATTGTCTAATAGCCTGAAATGTTCATACTCCATCCAGCATCCAAACACTTAATAGGTTAACTTTAGTTACTCCGCTTTGTTTTAGTCTGAAAATAAATCGACCGACTGCTTTATAAGCTGAAACCCAATAAATTAACTGTAGCAAGTACATTAATTTGTTTTAATTTGTTCTTGGTAGTCAAATAAGTTGAGTGCATAGATTGAAGTATCTGACAACGTTTACTGAAAATGTGCCTATATGAAGTGACAGCAAACTAGCGATCTGCCCAAAAAACATTCGTCAATGCAACAGTTATTGTCGATACATGGTCGGTAGCAAGTAGATATTTCAAAAGGCTAATTTAGGGACAAAAATGTATCGCTAATCGGTAGAGGTTTTTAAAAGAAAAGTTGAAAACTTCACACGGTATTTCATTTTGAAATTAACTCGTGAATCTCTTTAACGCCAATTTAATTTTATGCCCTAAGCACATCTTTTTATTTGCAACACATTGTTTCCACAATTCTCTCATTACCTGCCTATAGCAATTCAAAACAAAACAACAATACAGCAACTGGCGCTTAGATTAAAAATGTTTTGCAACGATCGGTGGGTAGATTTACCTTTAACTACTACCCTTACCAAACCAAAATAAAAACAGTTTTGCTAATATTGTGATATTGCATTTGTGTGCTAAAAGACCAATACCTGAGTGAAACCAAACTAAAATACTTTAGTTCAAGACTGAATTTCGGTACTGAATTGTATTTTATCATCGTTACATTTTAAAAAAGCCATCTTACAAAATCTATTGCAAGTCATTTCAATTAACATAAATTAAAATTACAAACCTTCTACTTTACTTGTTTCATTTGAATTAATTTAATTTAACACATACAGAACTGATGTGGAACATCATCGGGGCCACTGATCTGGGTCGCGCCTGATTGCGCTTTTCTTCTACCCGTGATGAAACAAAAAAATTGGAGGATGTGGACACAAACGCTTAATTCAGAGCTCAGTTAATTTCGTGTGGTTGAGTCGTTGGTGCTTACGATAATAGTCTAGATGTGTGAGTCATAGATGCGCTAACATCGAGACTTAGGTGTGAAGACAGTTTAGGATTGTAGTGAATCGTGTTCATTCACGTTAAACACCCCTATCATCGCAGTCTCACACACATGTTCCCTCTGTTCACGGCGCGCACGTCAGTCAATGGGACCGCCTGCTCATTAACATCTCTGTAAGTACCACCACCACCACCCCTTTATCTATGTGACCATTCAGATGCCTGTATTTCTACTAGTCCACTCAACCGTACCGGACAACACAACTTGGTTTGGCTGTCTCGTAAACTTCTGCGCCTTCCCAACTCCGGCCTTCTATATCTTCGCGGGTACACAGGGCAGCGTATTCGGCGTCGATTGTCGCAGTGGCCCCAGAGTGGTTCAAGACAACATGCCAGGGCATTCAACAGGAAAATCGCTTGTGTTAATGAGGAGGGAGTTGAGAATCCGTGAAGCTGGTGACATGCTTTGGGAAGGGGGACGCTGTGTGGGAGGAAGGGGTGACCGGATTAACGAGTGTGAATCAACGCGATTTACAGTACCTTTCATCCAATGGGGTTATTGAGAGGCGAGTCGCGGTTTCCGAGCAATCGCGATGTGGCCGTCGATGTGGGTCTTACTGATAATGCTCTCTCGCATGGGAAAAAAAAACAGCGAACCTTTTCTTCCAGTGGGTATTCAAAAAAATATATACCATAGGGTTCTGCAATCGAAATGTGGCCTAAGCGATTGTGAGAATAAGGGAAACTGCCGTAGGTTTAATTTAACTGGGCGCTTGACCTCATTGTACGTTTTCGGAATAATTAATTCGAAATTAATTGCTGTTTACGATAGAGCATTTTCTACCAGCTGGATATCTGAAAGGTTGTCTATTGGAAAGGTTAGGCATGATGCCAGATCATCAGATCGTTATAACTATCCAGTTGTGTTGAGAGTCGAGATCCAGGGATCAGAATCGATCGACAATATCTGCGTCTGAAGTCGAGGCCAATGAAAGGTGAGAGATGCGGCCATGTTTATTTAAAAAAATCAGTGGATGAGGTCAGAATGTGAAAATAGAGAGATTAATGCTAGGTGGTCTCCGAAAGATAATGGGAGTCTTAAGTGATCACACAGAGGTTAGCGGCATCCAAAGATTGGGCTTTGTGTGGAGAATTAAAGAGCTCCGGAGATTCTGTGTCATCCAGAATTGATTGTAGCCAGAACTGAATCCTCACTGAGCAACGAGATGCAGTAATTCTAATATTTCGCCAAACGCCAGTACAAAAAAGGTAGATGTTCCTCTAACGTAATGGTGACGCATGTCGTTAATGGCGTTTGGGCGTGTATTTATAGCTTTGATGTGTGAGCCATATATGGTCTAACATCGGCACTTAGGTGTAAGGATAATCCAGGATAATTATTAGTGCGAATGAGGGGAGAGTTGAGGATGCACGCGGTTTGCGACATCCTGCTAAAAGGGGGACTGTGTGCCAGATGCTAGAGTGACCGAATACGTGAGTGTAAATTAACGCGACTCACAGCAAGACTCTACTTTTAAAGATTTTCCCGATTTTATATTTATACTTTAACTTCATGTTTCAGTACACAGTCTCCGTCACTCCTTGAAATTAGCATATGTGGTTTCAAACAAATGCTCTGATGCTCATATTCATGGCAACGGAAAAAGTAATTGAGTAGACAATTCTGAATGTATTTAGCCTTTAGCTAAGTTAGAAAAAAACGTCTCAGCACAGGGTTCCCTCTTTTTCCAGTTGAGGCGACGCTGACTTAAGCGTATTTTCTTCTTCTGCTGCATAAGAAGTAGATAAAAGTGCACTTTACTACTTATTTATACAGACATATATGTGGCAACAGAATCG